ATATATTTATATATTTATATCTATATATATTTACAACTCTGCCATAGATTCCTTCACCTTTGGTTAAAAAAGTTAAAGCCCTCTCTTTAATAGCATACTTTCTTTTTAAAAGAACACACATTTTGCATACAAAAGAAAAAATCTGTTCCCATAAATCAACATTACATTCCTCATCTTCAAACGGCAAAGGCTGTGAAGGTTAGACTCCAGAGTTTATCAACACTCCACTGCACAGACATTTAAAATGACTATTTTTATTTTTTATGTTTTATATACAATAAGATCTGAATAATTTTATTTTTCTTCTCATTTCACATAACTGGGAAAAATAAAACCCGTGTATTTGTAATTTTTTTTTTACATTTCTAATGTTTTTCCACCTATCTGCACTATGGGTTTAGAGGCACTCCATCATGTGACGAATTTTTTTTCTTTTTTTTTTTTCTTTCTCCTTTTTTTTTTTTTTTAAAGTGTTGCAAGTATCCTTTGGACAACTTTCCCCTCCCGCCACCCCAAGATGACCTCCTCCTGGGAAATCCTCTGCCTTCAGCAGGCCTTGGGCAGCTCCGGAGGCACCTCGCTCGCCGAGATGCGATACTGCACCTTGGTGTTGGTGATGGCCCCGTGCTTCTGCCGGAGGTGGAGCCGCAGCTGGCTTTTGTGGCGGAAATGCAGGTTGCACTTCTCACACTGCAGGGCAAGAGGCAAAGGTCAAGGGTGTGAAACATGTCCTTCCCTTCGGGGCAGGGGTCCCACATCCAGCTACTCCATTACGTTCAAGGCCAGGTTGGATGAGGCTTTGAGCAATCTGGTCTAGTGGAGGGTATCCCTGCCCATGGCAGGGGGTTGGAACTAGATGATCTTGAAGGTCCCTTCCAACCCAAACCATTCTATGGTTATACCGGTGGAAAGAGGTGAGCGAGGATGTGGTAGGAGCAGTTGTGGGGAAGCTGAAGCAGGACCTTGGGGCCCTGTGCTGCCCTTCTTTGAGCCCCTAAACCTTGCCCCCATGTCCTGCTTCTCTGTCCCCACGGCACAGGCATCCCTCCCGAGGTCAGGAACCCCATTCCAGGCTTTCAGCAGCACATTTCAGTTTGTGGGATGCACAAAGGCTGAGGTCCCTTAGGAGGGGACCTCGGCTCTGATGGACGCAGCACCAAGCTCCTTATCTAGATGCTCAAACCAGCCACAGGGCTATTTTGGGAGCTGCTTTTGACCTCTGCCAAGTCAGATAGCTCCAGAGGGATGTTTGAATGACAACCTCTGCTCCAATTCCCTCTCTAGCAGATGGGGAAAGCCAGAAAAGCCTTGGAAAAGACCTGGAGCCCCCAGGGCTGCAGCAAGGCAGGGCAGGCTGCTTGCTCGGCACGGGTGCCACTGGCCCAGGGGACCCCAGGCCAGGCTGCCCACTCCTTTTCCCCATCCCTGCATGCAGTGGGCAGCTGCAATTTAAGATGCAGCTATTTGGAGAAGCATGACCTTCTTCCAGATGGGGTAGAAGAAAAGAAGAGTAGCTAAGATGTACCCAGCCCGGGCTGCATGCCAGCATTTCCAACGCAGGCGCTCATGACAAAATACCACGTCGGCACCGGCTAATGCACGAGAGGGGGACAGGGCACAAGGAATGGAGACGTGACCTTGGCGTGGGGCCCCGTGAAGCCGGCAAAGTGTATTGGGGTGCTGCAACCAGCCCACATGAATGCCCCAATGTCTTCCAACCCCCCAGGTTTGGCTGTCTCCTCCCCCAGCCTCTGCTCAAACTGCCCCCTCAAAAGAGAAGTAGGGTCACTCACATGATATGGTTTCTCTCCTGTGTGGATTCGAAGGTGACTTTTGAGGGTCTGCAGGTGCCGGAAGCGTGTGCCACAGATCTCACAGGGGTATGGCTTCTCCCCAGTGTGAATGAGCACATGAGCACGGAGGTGGGCCACCTAGAAAGAACAGCTCTGGGTCAGGACAGCCCCAGGGACGAGGGCATCCCACCAGGAGCGGGGTTCTGCCCAGCCATCTTTTTTCGGTCCATAGGGTTCTAGCTGGGAGTCAGGGCCACGCACAACTGAGGTATGATATTTCCAATCCTTAACGGCAAATGGAAGAGAGGAGCTGAAACCAGCCATTAGGCTTCCTACTGAGCCAAACTGGCCCACATGGACCTTAAGGACTCTATTTATCCCCCAACACCATGGGAAGAGCTGCCCAAGGCAGCAAGCGTGGCCCATCAGCCTCCTCCCTGCTGCAAGGTGTCACCCGTCTGGGACAGGAGGTCCAGCCGTGTCCTCCCGCCCCGTCACTGCAGGTCCCAGAGGCCACACGCACCTGGACAAATCTGGCCCCACAGGTCTCACACTTGTAGGGTTTCTCTCCGGAGTGGATGCGTGTGTGGGTTTTCAGGTTGGCTGGCCGGTTGAACTGTGCCCCACAGATGTTGCAGCGGTATGGCTTCTCTCCTGCAGAGCCCAAAAGAAAGGGTGAAGGACTAAGCATAGATGTGCTCAATCCCCATGACCCATGGCACTTCCCGAAGCACAGTCCCTTCAGGTGCCGGACCCCATGGAGTGAAGCACTAGCCCTGACTTCCTTTTGGAGATGGCTATGGACAAGTAGCATCAGTCAGGACAGCATGGGGTGTCCCCAGAGCAGGGTGAGCTTAGGAGGCCGGGCACCGTGGGTACCTTTTCTTTTTCAGGTTAGGAGCTGCAGCCTTCAGGGCAAGAGAGAAAGTTGGATAGGTCTGCCAGTGAGGATTAACAGCATCATTCCTCCTGGCCCTGTGACAGCAGCTGGTGCCCTGCGTCTCCCTACAGCTGTAGTAAACCACGCAGGGCCACCTGTCTCCCCCTGGGCTCCTCGTGGTCCCCAGCACATCCCACCTTGGCTGTTCATTACCTCTTTAGAGAAGCAAGAAGAGCTGATAGAGCGGAAAGCCAAGGCATGCCCAGTGACCTGGCTCCCAATTCATTATTTGGTTACAACCACCGACGCCAGCCCCGGCTGACTTCCTTACGGTAATGGAGGGGGGCTGCAAAAAGGTTTTAACTAGTTTCTTTAGGATGGCTGAATATGGGATCAAAGGAGAGGGGGGAAACAGCCATCATCTAGCCCTTCCTGCCTTTTTCTTTTATTTCCAGGCTGACCTCACGCACCCTCAAACCCTGCCCTGGCACTTGGATTGTCTCATTCACCTATGCAGCCCTCCTGGAGCTCAGCTGGGGCTGCTGGACTTTATGCCTAACAGAGTGCAGCAGCACTGAGTCATCAGCACAGACTTCCCTTCCCCAGCCAGCAAACTGGCTGTTGACATGTTAAGCATTAATAAAAGCATGAAAAACAAACAAACAAAATCCCCAGGTTTGTCAGCAAATGATCAAACCTTTAATATCCCCTTCCTTTCTCAGCTTTCATTGTGCTGATTCACAGAGTGCACTGTTCACAGATTTTCCCATCAGCAGAGTTTCTGCCAAGTTAAATATGATCTGGATTTCTAGGATGTAGGGTGCAAAAAAAAAAAAAAAAAAATCCCAGATTTCTCCCTAAATGTTCTCCTGATTGTTTTCATTATTTTATTTTATTAAGTCTACCACAAAGTAATGTGGAGGCCACACATCTGCCTCTGGCCATGCATTTTGCAAGCCGCCTGCAGGAACAGTGGTACCCAGCACTTGACAGTGAAGGAGCTCCAGTCCTGCTGCGAGGCCAGGCAGCATCTTCCCTGTTCCCAGGTTTAGTGCTCTGAGAAAAGCACCTTGTTCTTCCCAGCGAGGACAGCAAGTGACAAGGCTGGGGACACTGCGTCTGGGACAAACCCAGCCATAAATGCCCACATGCCCAGCAATCCGCAGCATCCCCGCTAAGTTGTAACCCGTGGCTGACACCGTACCTGTGTGGACGGTTTTGTGGCTGGCGAGGTTCCCCTTGTAGCGGAAGGAGGCCTGGCAGCGGTCACACTTGTAGGGCTTGTCACTGTGGACTTGCAGAGAGTGTCTCTTGAGAGAGGCCTCCTCAGAGAACCGGCAGTCGCACTCATTGCAGAAGAAGGCTCCGTTCTCTGGAAGGGCAGAGAGGAGAGCGATGAGAAGGGCAAATGTGTGGGCCAGCTCCTTGATGGGCCATGGGATGGGTTTGGGATGGTGGAGAGAGGCCCCCAGAGCAAGTGTTGGAACAAGAAGCCGAGCGCAGACACTCGTAGTCAGCGGTGCTTGCACTGTGCTGTTACCTCCTGACCTTGTGCACACAGCAACAACATGCATGGTTTGAGAGCACAAAGTCATCTCGAGCCATCTCTCCTTTAGTGCGACACAAGCTGCTTCCAAGAAGCCAGCATGTCATCTTTTGGAGAGGTCCACAAAGGTACCCAAGTTGGACACACAAAGACACCTGATAACTTGATCAAGCATCCTCTGAAGGATGGATGCTCAGCTCTGGAGCAGCTCCAGCACCTTTACAGGTCTTAAACCTTTATGTGTACAGATGTCTTCCTCAAGCATGGAAAGATCATCATAATCAGAAGTGCAAGGCAGATTGAGGATGCCTAACTCCTAAATGCCATGTGTAGCTTTGAGCATCACCACAGCTGGCTTCCCTCTGTGGATCTGTGCCCACCCTACAGGTGACAATTCTGCATTCCCCCTCCCTGAGCTACAGACAGATGGGTACACAGATATTCGTCTCTGGGCTTGTGGAGTTTTGCAACAAGATTGCAAGCCTCATTATCTGCATTTCTCCAGATGTGCACACTGGGCTCCCTGATAATGAAGATACCATGACGGACGCATGAGACACACCATCTTGCCCAATGCCCATTAGGGTCATTACATCTGCCAAGCTTGTTCTCCCGTGGTTCTGGTGGGGTGGGGTACACTTTGTTTCCTGTCCTCAGCTGCCAAGTTTGCAGTAGGTGACTAAGTCCCTGCACAAGGTATCTGGACAGTGCTGGGGAAGGGGAGGAAGGAAGCCGTTCCCATGTGCATGCGTCCCTCACATGCGTGTACACAGCTGCTCAGCCAGTTAAGAGGCGACTGTAAAGCACCTTGGGATCCACCAGCATCAGGAACAGGTCTGAGTGCCTGTTTGGACACAGGGCACTGGGTGGATGGGTCCCCAGACTGCACAGCCCCCTTGCCTGCTGGCTGGAAAAGGTGACCAGAAATGCAAAACTCACCGCAGCTGGAGTCAGAGTATTCAGACTGGGTTTCCCCCATCTCCTCTCCAAAGTTTGAGCCAGGGGTATGAAGGCACATCTCAGCATGTTGTGGGGACTGGCAGCCACAGGAGCTGCACTTCGACGAATGCATGTACAGTGGGGACTGCCCTTCGCTGCTCCGAGGGGACCCATCCCGGGACCTGCAGAAGGACAGCAACGCACACAGCCGTGAGAAGGCTCTTGCTGTGCTTGAGCTACTGGGCCCTTGTTTGTACCCTTCCAGACACGAAGGACAGCCATGTTTAACGGGGACAATTTTGCAGTGGGACGCACAGCATAGCCCTGACCAACAACAGGTCCCTAAGCCTCAATCCTTCGGGGGTCCACCACCAAATGATCTCAAAGCTCTCTAGGAACATCCAGGTCCAGAGGGCAGCATACTGTTCCCTGGTAGTTTGGCTATTCCAATGCTCACAGCCAACCAAAAGCTTGAGGCACAGGAATTCTGGTGAAAAACAGGTTGGGCAAATCCAGGCTCCAGAAACCATCCAGAGCTGCCAAAGTCAACCAATTCTTGACCCAACATTCCCAATTCCATCACCAGGCCAGGCTGGCACCACTATGGTGAGGACAGCTGGCACGCAGCTGACATCACTGGCAGTGCTCCACCAAACACAGAGGTTTGCACCGTCTCAGGATGGCCGGACTCCCCAGCCCAATGCTACAGCTATTTCACACACTTCCAAACCCTCACCAACAATGCAGGGAGTCCCGTCTCTCTTGAGGAGGAGGGGAAAAAATCTCACCTGTTAACAATATTGTTGAGTCTGCTCGCTTGCGGGATAGTAGAGTCTTCTCCATTCACACTTATCTTGGTAGGGGATTGCACATTGAGATGCTCTGGCTCCATGGACTGCTGGCAAGTGGACATGGGCATGTAGGTGCGAGGAGAGAGGGTTCCCATCTCGTTCTGGTCAGCACTGTCTTGCTTGGTGCTCTGATTGAGAGAGTTAAGGACAATGAACTTGTACTTCTTCCAGTTGCAGGCTTTGGGGTCTGTGGGGCTCTTGGTGAAGAGGGAGCTCGAGCTCTGACTGATACGGGCATTCTTGCTGCTGCTGGACTCGGTTGGCGAGTTGGGCTGACAGTCCGACTTCTGGGGGCTCTGGGGGCTGATGAGTCCCTTGCGGTCCAGGGGGGTGTTGGTGGGCTCAAAGTGCTGGCTGATTTCATCCTCTGAAGAGGTGCGCTCCTCCTCTTTGGCCACTTTGTCGCAAGAGAAATAAGGATTGTTCCGGATCGAAGGGACGACAGGTTTGGGGCCAGAGGCGACGCTGTAGTGCATGTCGCTCCTGGCTTCTTCAGCAGCACCTTCTTTCGGAGCATAGATGGTAGCGTGGCACATGTTGGCCGAGATGTCAGTAATGGTTCTCATGTACTCAGTGGGGATTGTCCTGGAGCTGTCGCATGGCAGGATCCTCTCCTTGGGGAAGGCACCTGCCCTCGAGAGTTCGGAGAGAGGCATCCTCATCTCCCGCAACTCATCATCCACAAGGAAGCTATTTAGAGGGAGAGGGCTGTATCCATGGTAGGAAATGGGGGAGCCAGACAAACTATTGATCAAGCCAGGTGCAAAGGCCCTCCCATTGCAGAGTGACCCATTTTGGAGAGGCATGCCGTTCTCTGAGACATCTCTGCTCCTATAAGCCATCACCTCTGGGTGGCTCAGCATCCGTCCAGCCAAAAACTCTTCCCTTGGGGTCTTCACAGCAGACACCATCTCTGCTTCACTGGAACCAGGCAAAAAGAAGGGAGACGCAGTCATTTTCAGCCTGTAAGGGTAAGTTTGCAGATACTTTGCCAGTTCTCCCCCCTCCCACCCAAAAACACTGTCCCAGGCTCTCTAAAGTTTCACTCATGGCACTCACCTAGACTTGACAAACCTTCGGCAGGTATCAACCACATGCTCCATCTGCAGGTACAGCGCTGTGGCCATCACAGCCATGATATTGCTCTCCCTCAAGTTCAGGCGGGACGTATACATGAAGTCCAAGAGGATGCAAAACCCCTCAGGGTTAATTTCAGGGTCCAGGTTGATGACATTCAAGTTGCACTTGAGCTGGTCAGTGAAGATGCTGTAGAAGAGGCCGCTGCAGAGAAGAGACAGGAGAGAAGACAATGAGGGTTATGACAATTCAGAGGAAGGAAGGAGAATTTGTCTGAAATTCCTTAGCACAGAGGGGTTCATGAACGGGAAGGGAGGAGGCAGCAATTACAGAACTCCCTGAGCTTCCCCCTTATTATCAAGCTTGGTTTCTCAGCTTAGTAAGCGTCTCCTGCACTGTACTCTTCCCGACTGGAACAGCCTGCTTTTAGATCTCACCTGCTCAACAACTCCCTACTACCTCCATTTAGAAATTTCCCCCTTTTTTTTTTTTGGTTGTTGCTGTTGTTCTTACCACCCTCCCCTTCCCACTGTGACTCATTTCTGTCAGAAGCCTCTTGGGGCATCCACGCTCACGCTTTAACCAGGGGAAAAAAAAGAAAAAAAGAAAAAAAAAGGAAATATTGGCAAATCATTTTTCAGATGTCTTCATCGTCAACCTTGGCTTTTTCAGATCTTTGTACTTTGTCAGCAGGAGACCCTGGTAGGCATCTGCTGTATTTCAACTGGGCAATGGTGGGATGTTAATTAGTGTTCACTAGGAAGCAATTCCAGCAATCCTAGGAGCTGGAAAAGGATTTCAGATCCCACCAGGCTTGAGGGGAAAAAAAAAAAAAAAAAAATCAACAAAGGTGGGTGCAGCCAGCAGCCTGGGAGTCACAGAGGAACAGCTCTAAAAATAGCAGTGGCAGGGGACACTGCGGTCACAGAAGACTTGCTCACCCCAGTGAGCATCCAGCCCTCCCTGCCCTTCCCTATCCAATCCTGTCCCATCCCTGCAAAGTGTTTCTGCTTTGCCTCCAGGGATGTGCCCCACGTCTGCTGTGCCACTGTTAGTCTCCATGGGCTGTGGGTGGGCAGATGTGGGCATGCAAGGAGGAGAGGGGCCTGGGCACCATGCTGGAGGCAAAAGGTCTCTGCTCTAATTCCATTGCAGGTACAAATTTCTTGGCAGCCCCTTCTGATTCTGCTTCTCTGCCTCCGTTTCCGTGTCCGTCAACCTCATGAGCCTCCCCGGGGCTGCAGCAGTGTTGTCAGTGGCCAAGGGCAGAGGGAGCAGGGAAGGGCGGCAGGGAGGGGACCCTGCTCTCACCTGCAGGCCATCAGGACTGTTTTGTGGGCTCTGAACTGCTCACGGTTCACAATGATGACGACGTCGGTCAGGATATCCCGGCTTCTAAGGCGGTTGAGATTGAGGAGGACATCGCTGGCGTGGCGGGTGAACTGGATGCAGCTGTCTGCTGGCGAGGCCATCTTGAGTCTGCTCGAAACAGAAGCGGCAGGAGGATGGGAACGGAGAAGTGGCCAGGCAAGTACCCCGAACCCAGCAAAGAGACAGCTGCTGCTCTGGGATGTGCTAAGATGGCCAACTGCCACTGGTAGGGGCAGCACCAGCTCCTTGGTCCAAAGGCAAACAGCCCTGCACCACACCAAGTGCCTGCCAGGCTGCCCCAGTGACGCCTCTCGGCTGACAGTGAGAGCTGGCATGTCTCAGTCCCACCCAGCAAGCTGGCGGGCGAAGGCGACCAGACCCTCCTGAGGATTAGCTAACCAGCTCCTCTTTCTCCCTGCCTCGCCCATGGCGGCTCCACCCCACCAGCCCACTCCTCCCACCACCACTTGGGTTCATCTCCACGAAGCTCCCAACACAGTTTCCCCACCTTCAGATCTTCCTCAGGAGCCATCCCCCTCATCTGTCTGCAGGCTGGCTGCAAATCCAGCCATGGGAATCAAAACAAGCCTTGAAGGTCCCAACTGAAGCTGAAGGATTTCAACACCTAGAAAACCCAGCCCACAGTGGAGCATCAACCCTCACCCACCAGCAAACTACTTTCCTGCTCCCAAGTGGTGGCTGCTCTCAAGAAGACCTGTCCACAGTTTCTCAATAAATTGATGGTGGCAGTGAGGAGCAGAACTCATCTAACCTGCTGGGCTGCTACCCACACTGCAGTCCAGTCTCTCCCAGTGATCAAGGCTCAAGTTAGTCGAGGAACACAAAGCCTTCCCCCAACATAACAGCTGTTGACCCATCTCAGAGGTGTCTTCCCAGCCAGCACCCAGGAGAGCCCACAACTCCCTGTGCCTGAAGCTTGAGCGGAAATGTGCATCTTCAGCGTCAAATTCCTCTGTGACCAACCCCCTCCCACTATCCCGACTCCTCCTCCTCCTTCCCCAGCGGCACATGAACGTACAGTATTTTCTACAGAGCAGCTGCTCTCCTGAAAACAAATTCCAGCTGGGTCTAATGAAACATTTCATTCAACATGGTAAAGGGAAGGGGGGCGGGTTAGGAGGGGAAGCACAAAATTTAAATTTACATACCCAATGCCTCAATTCACAGTCCAAAAGTTTCTTTCAAACCTACGAATAAAGCAGAAGAAAACAAACGCCACATTAGCTGGTAGTTATGAATTGGCCGTGGCAGGACACAAGCCTGCTGTTTTGCTTGAGTATCAGTTGGATAAAAGCTAGAGATAACAAACCTTCTACTCTCCAGTAAGGTTAACATTTGTTTCTTCCGGTACAGTACGTTCTTATCACAACCACAGGCTTTGAGAATCCAATCATAGCTTCTTCCACACCCTCTAGCCCAAACCATGGGCGTATGCCAAGGAGATTTTCATTTCCATGACTCAGGAACTTAAAGGCAGGTGGGGAAGGGAAGTCAAGCGAGAATTTTCTCACCACTTCTTTTGGAGATAACTCTTCCCCTGCCAAGATCAAATCCCCGGCCACTGCCACATCCAAGACCAATGCCGTATTACCAGCACCTTGTTAACAGGTATGACTTACACACAAAGGTCTGCTGCCATTCTGCTCAGAAACCTGGAAAGTGCCCAAATCCAGTCCTTTAAAGCAGCTACTGCCCTTCTCAGGGCACCCATGTGCTCCAGCCACTGGTGAAAACGCCCTGGGACAGATGGGTCCGCTGAACAGTCTTGGAGGATATGGGCGTCAAGAACTGAAGTGACTTGGCCAGGATCACAGAGGAAGCCAGTGGCGGAGGCGGATGGGCACTCAGAACAAATGCCTTCCTCTGGCTGCTGGAAAAACCTTCCCTCAAACTGCAAGCTTCATCTCCAGCCGTCAGCTTCACAGGCAACGTGGCTGGGGCAGCATGGCAAGGAAACCCAGGAGTTAACTGCCTTCCAGAACTCACGCTACTACTCCCAAATTTACTTAGAACCAACAAAGACAATTGACCTGACACCAGCGCAGGAAGAAGGTCCTCAGGCAGCTGCCCCAGCAGGGAAAAGCACAATAAATAAGTGAACCAACACACCAAGACCTTCATCACACTATTTTGAGGACTGACTCCGAAAACCAGACAGAGAGAGTAAGACTGCCACCACCTGCGGAGAGCCCACCCAGCCCTGCAAGGACAAGCATCCCCTTCCCTCTCCCTCGTGAGTGGCGTGCAGATCTGGAACCCAGGCTCCCCTTGTGTCCCCAGACCACAAAGGGGTGGGGTGAAGAAGTAAGATTTAAGGCAAGGTATCCCAGAGGGGTGTCTTCCAGCCCCCTAATGCAACCCTTCAGGGCCACTCGGAGCCTGGCCAGCTTAAAACTTTACGCACAGACAAAAAGTGAGTCATTTCCCAAATACTGCAGACTCTGACCTTTCTGTGTGCACTCGCTGCCAGCCACTCACTACCGTCAATCGCGAGCCGAGGGACTCGCGGCTCTCTGCGGGAGCCCAGCTGCATCCGTGCATCCATACAAGCAGACGTATGCATTTGGGGCAGCTGGTTGGCACCCTGACCTCGGCCGTGTCGGCAGACACACTCTGCCAGGCTCCCAGGGACTCACCGCGGCGTCCCAGGCATGGGGAGGTGACCCATCCATAAACCAGCAAAGTTACGAACTGCGAGATGAACTCTGCGCCGGTGAGCGTCACGTGAGAAGCTGCTGCTGTCGCCAAATTCACGTACCTACAGTGAGGTCACGGCAGTGCCCAGCCAAGGGGACACCCAGCTCCTCTCCCAGAGCTGGACCCCAGCACAGCCCCCTCCCCACCCTCCCAAATTATCCCTCCCCAGCGCAGTGCTGCTGCAATGCCCACAGCCCCGGGAGCCGGGCAGGTGCATCCCAAGCAGCTCCCGGCTGCAGGATGTGGGCGCG